TAAAAGTTGTCACTGTAAATTTGGAACTGATGTCAGTACAAACAGAACAAGACCAGACTGCAGACCACCAGCACTCAAGAAAATATTTATGCTAAAAATGCTGATTTTAACTAATTTGATTACTTTTAATTACAGAGTAAAATCTTAAATGTAAATGAATCTGGTCAAATGTACTTGATTGGTATATATTCAGTTTAGACCAAACACATTACTGCTTCATGTTTAAGAAGCTACGTATCTTCTTTCTTTCTTTTTTCTTCTTCCACATCAGGCACGAATTGATTTTGCGCATCCAGAAAGAGATTCAGATTAGTGTGTCATAATCTCTTGGCACAACTTGAAAGTATTTAGAAATATAATATAAATATTGATATTGGACTCCTAGAACTTCTCTCTCCTAAGTCTACCACAACTATGCTCTGATTGTTTGATGGTTCCCAATGACAAGGCGATTCTGAGGTGAGCAGAGCATGTGATGATGCTCATTGACGCCTTAAATCATGGTAAGTTCATGCACCTTGGGACACACACATCACTGGTTAAGTGTGTGCGCTGCCTTTACCATTAAAGTAATTTTGTCCTTTTTTAAAATTTTCATCGCCGAGTGCAGCACAGAGATGTTTGAAGGGCTTTTCACTTTGGAGACGATTCCCCGCTCTCTGCCCTGCACCTCTGGCCTCTGCCTCCTTGGTGGGGTAACCGTGGCAACAGAACACCTCAGACAATATGATAACCATGTTCATTTGATACAAAAGCAGTCAAATCTGAGAAAGTTCCCCATGACCCCCTCACAATTAGCCAACTTTGTTGTTGTTGTTGTTTTAATTCAGTGAAGACAGTTATACATTCATCATCTTCTTCTTTTGGCTGGTCCTTTTAGGAGTCACCACATCTGCCAGCATCGCACCCTATCCCAATATCCTCCTCTGTCACACCAAGGGTTAGGGTGACCAAGGGTTTCAGGGTTAAATATCATGAGGTGTAACTATGATACTTTAAACAGCAAAAATGCACTACGGTAGTTTAATGATGTAGGTGAACAGAGACAAGGACGTGTAACGATCAGTATCTGAAAAAGTGCTCAAAAAGTGTTTTTTATGTAAACGTCCGAGGATCATCAGTATTTTAAAGTTGATCTGACCTTTTGTTGCACTAAGATTCCACAGTCGACCGTAATCATGACTCAGGCGACAGGCCAACATTTTTCTAAATGTCATCTTCTTATCTGGGAAGTCAAACATTGTTGTTTATCAGGTGCATCCAGATACTCCTGTTCTGCAGACTGCAGC